CCACCTTTCCCTATTTAACATGCATAACATAAAACCCTGGTAACTGATTTCACTGACAGAGAGCAGCTACTGGTCAAAGCACTGACAAAGCCAAGAGCATCAGCCAGACCCAATTTCCTTGAATAAATCGCATATATGGACAGAATTCTAGGGCCTAAAATTACACCTATTTAGCCTCTTAATACTACTTTATTTTGCAATTTAAGAGTGTGAAGAATTTGCTTAAATACACTCCTAATTTGGAAGACGGTTTTCTGCGGTTCTTAAAAAGTCTTAAAAAGAACCCGTTTCCAAATTCAGACTGAGTTTAAAAATGTTTCCAAAATCCTTTGTCGCAATCCTAAAATTTCAGATCGAAAGAGTTCTAAATTTAACGAGATTCCAAAATGAGATTGAATCTCGGCCTTTAAGTGTTCATGGTTTGATTCACGTTATGTCAAAATCACCCTGTTATTATGGTGCTGGTTAACTGATGGCTGCTGTACTAGAGCAGACATAATCTTTCCTATGGTGGATTGAATTCTTTTGTTGTACTCATTTTTTATTGATGCACTTTAATTGTGTCATGTGAAGAAACCCTCAAAAAAAATTAAATCCATATATTTGGTTATTCTAAGTGCTTTTAAGATGCCCTCTACCTGAACTATACATTTGCCGCTAAAACAAGCTGCTTAAAGGTGTTGGCCTGACTCAGCAGGAAGCACTCGAGCCTCTGAGTCGGATGCTTGTGGGTTCAAACCCCATTTGGGCTTTGAACTCACATATTCTAGGCTGCCACTCCAATGCAGCGTTGGGAGTGTGCTTCATTGTTAGAGATGCTGTCCTTCTGATGAGACAGTAAACCAAGTTTGCCTGTTCAGGTAGACATTTAAGAACCCATGACAGCATTTGAAAAGAGAAAGGAGTTTCTCCCGGTCTCCTGCACAAGTAATACACCGGGTAAATTGGTCATTTGGTTCATGGTTGTTTGTGGGACACTACTATGCACATATTTGTTACTGCATTTGCTTATAAAATATGCAACATTATACATTATTGTAAATCCTGTGAAGCACTTTGAAACATCCTCCAGACGTGAAAGACATGATATCAAATGCAAGGATAGTGCCTTGGGATCTTTAATGTCCACCTGAGCAAACAACAGGGACCTCGGTTTAATGTCCCATTCAAAGGATGTCACCTCACCATTATTCGGTTAAAAGGATAAGCAAATCTAGGAGATAGAATGCAGATCATCTTTTTAAACCAACTAAAACCTAATTTATTGTATCTTGAGAGCCTACATTTCTTTCCATCATTTGCCCCTATAGCTGTGAGAGTTTGAAATTGATTTTTTCTAAATATTCTGCAGAAAAAGTCATTTCAAAAAACTCTGACGTTCAGGATAATTTTGGAAAATTTTACTCTTAAATTGTAATTTTCTGATTGAACCAATTTACATCATATTTATACTAATCATAGTGTTAGATTCCTAGGGGAATGACTTTTAAATATGTATGGGGGAATCATTCTGTGTCGGCCAATTTTCCAATGGGTTCAGCTGGCTTCAGCTCAAAGTGAGGTTCTTCTAATCCGATGTCTACATTATAACAGAACAGCACAAGATTGGTGATGCTGCCAGGGAGTCAGATGCATAATGCCATTACATTGCCAGTGTTCATCAATGGACCATCAGAGAGCAGATTAGACACATACCATTAAATTACAACAGAACTAAGTACAGATCACAAAACTGCCACAGAAAATGCACGCATTCAGCAGACCTTTGTTCATTGTGAGAAGAGATTGAAAAGAAGCCTTTTGGATGCAAACAATAACCTTAGTACAAATGTTTGACAAGCATAAGGAACACTGACTGGCATGAGTTTCCTCTGGATACACGTATCAATGGTTTTAGAAGAACAGGTTCCCCAGAAAGTGAACTGGTTCAAATTTAGATTTATCTACGTAGATCTGAATCAGTCTAATTTCATCCTCTTCAGCCTCGTGGTCAGATGCTTCATAAACTAAGTATTTAAATTGTGAATTCTAGATTAATACACAATGTTGGGTAGGATTTAGCCAGTGTATGCAAATGTCATGCATATGTGCCATTAGTTCATTTGTATCCATCGTTACTTTGTATAATACAAGTTCCTTTTATGAACCATTGCTACAACCTCCTTCGCACAAAATTGTGCTCATTCCCTTTTATTGCCTGATATCTTCATAGGTACTTTATTGTCCCTTTCTTCAAGATTGCTTTCAATGTTTTACCCAATGTTCCATTGGAGTTAATTTCCTGCACAGGGAGGCCAATAAGAGGAAAGAAGTTGCATTTTTATATTATGTTATGTTGAAAAGTACTTTATGGTAATTGCTCTAGAGGCTTTTTTTTATAGATAGATATCATTTTGGCCATGCAAACATAAACAGCCATGAGGTGAATGAGCAGTTTATCTGGAGAATTATTGGCCGGGACAATGAGACAAACTTCTCTTTTTGAATACATCATGGGATGCTTAATCTCTGGAGACCTGTACAGGCAGACAGGCCCCTGATTTATGGTCTTATTTGAGGAATGGCACCTACAACAATGCAGGACTCCCCCAGTACCGCACCAGAGGGTCAGCCTGGACAATGTGTTACATTTATGATTAAAAGGATGATTGTAATAAATAATAAACCTTGCATTTGATATTGCACCTTGTCAAGACGTTAAGATGTCTCAAAACGTTTCACAGAATATATTGTAAAGTGGATTGACGATATCTTCTTGCCGTAACGCGGCAGCCAACTGTGCCCCACAGTGTGCCATAAACAGTCATGGATTTTTTTTGCATTGTATTATAAAACAATTTCATTTAGGTAATAATATATGATGTGTACAGAAAATTGTATGTGTTATCCATGAATTGGACTATGGTATCATTGACAACTTAGTTCCAATGGAATCTGTGCTGGATGTAGATCCATAATTAAAATCACCTACATGGAAAGTGATACATAGTGTACATGCCCTGGAAAGTGAGAGTATATGATCAGTTTGGTAAGGAAATATGCCCCATCATTTGTGTTCCGAACCAGGTTTCAAATATCTCGGAATATATCTATGTTCATTTAAAAGGAGGTGAGAAGGTGAAGACCGACAAATTAAATTCCATTGATTTTCTAAGTCTGTATATGCTGTGACTAGGCAGTGAATTGAAAACCAGACTGAGAGGTAATTTCACTAACTTTATAACAGTAGACAGTTTGGTCGTCTTGTGCATGTGTGTTATATTGACAAAGAAACATGCATTTCACTAGTTCTGCAAGTATATATTAATATATTGATTATACTGACAAGCTCACAAAATATGAAACAACCAGTCTTGAGTAAAACACAACATTAAACTGGTAATCTATTATAATTATGGTAGATAAAACATATTTGATAAATATCCTGGATTTTACACCAGAGAGATTGTCAAATATTTTTTACATTTTGACTTTTATGATTAAGCTGGGTTTTAAAAAAATATCATATTTAACTGTCTTATCCTCATAAGATGCTGTTTTAGATTAAAGAGGCCTAAACAGTACTGTACTTTGACATGTAAGTGTTCAGATTGCTGAATAAGATCTATAAATAAGACAGATAACAGAGCACATATTGTGAGCGACATGCCACGGAAATGGGTGTACATCAGCTTCCATGATACAGAACTGCCAAATGATAGCTCCATCTTCGTGGAAGCAAGGAACTGACTAAAAATAATCACAGCTTCCACCATATATGTCTTGCATTTTCAACACGTTCACAGCATTAACAAAACACATGATAAGTGACCAGAAAGTACACAATATATATCCTCTAGTGACCTGTGTGTGTGTATGGAGTGGGGGGGGGGTAACAATGATAATTTGCAAATCTTCCTTCTGTATTATAATGGGAAATCCCATTTTCCATTACAATACAGTACCTGGATAACCACGGTCACTGGAAGACTGATGTGTCCTTATCTTTTGCATGTGAGTTGCATGGTTAGGACATTGTGCAATCTTTTTCCATTTCCCACAGTTCGTTTGACATGTCTATTGTTTGCTAGCAATGTTAAAATAGTCTGAAAAGTTTCCCTCCATAAAGCAATTTTAGTACAAAGCACAAACTCAAATTCCGAGGTTTCTTTAATACAACCACGAGACATAGGATTTATGGGTTCACTTATATCTATTTGTAGTTTTCAACACAGTTTATTCAACTGGAAACATTGAGGGAGAAATTCCATCTAAATATTTTCTGAGTGTGCAGAGAGTGCAGAATTTGGCAAATTCTTAAACACCTCCTTAATTTTGAAGCTGTTTTTCGATACGTTTCTTTGATGACTACAGAAATACTATTTCAAATATTGAGACCGAATTCAACAAATTAGCTAAATTCTGGATGTTCTCAAATGCTACGTAAATAGAGTAAATCTAGAGGCAGGTGGAATTTTCACTTCCTCTCATAAACACTGGCATTAAATAAAAATAGCCCCAAAGAAAAAGGCTAAAATGAGCAGCTGGCATAATGATGTTCAATTACATACACATGAACCCTGGAAGTAAGAAAAAATTCTGTTTGATTTGCAATTTTTTTAAGGGCTTACTATTGTAGTGCTTCACCCATCTGTCTGTTACCATTGTGATTGTTACAGACTCTGATCACTGGCATAATAGAACCATCTAACATAATAGCACCATCTTACTAGAGCCAAGAAGCATGCTAATTGAAGTCTATACTGCCGTTAGTAGCACTGATTGAGGTATTTTCCCCTTGATTTCTCTATTACTTTATGGTACTAATAAAAGAAGGCGTTACCTCCTGTTATCACCAGTAGCCAGACTATTTAAACAGGTACATGAACTCCCACAACTAACACTTGAACAGACTCGTTGGGCCAAATGGCCTGTTTCCATGCTATATCACTTCATAATATAATAATAATAATCCTTGCATTTGATATAGTGCCTTATCACGTCAAGGTGCCTCAGTGCGCTCAAAGGATATTCTGTAAAATGAATTGGCTGTATATTTTGTGGCTGCATTTCTATGTCTAAGAACTACAATAACACAGAAGACTTGGCTGCTGATAAGAAACATAAAAACAAACCTTGAAATATTTTGTAACCTTCTTTAATCAACTAGATTTAAGTAACGTTTTCATTTGGATTTTTTTAAAACTGTGTTGATTTACAGTGAGATTTGAATAGTGTTTGGCTTGTTAAACCCTTTTCTCATATTTGTAGGAATTTTATAAGTGCTGGTTTCTCCAAAGCAGCAAGATTGCTTTACAATATACAGTATTAACATCTGTCACAGAAAATGAAGCCACCATTCTTTCCCTCCCCAAACCCCCCCATGATGTTTCCTTGCAGGATATCTCTCACATACATTCTGTGCCTTAGTTCAGTACAGTGCTTTCGGATGGAGTGTCGCTTGACTAAATTCCATGCTGAGCCTCAGAGCTTGAAGCTTGTATGAGCTGCTGGTGTTCTGGTGTGCCAGCTACCTAGGAAGTATCTTCTCAAACAATGGGTGATGCCTGTGTTTCAGCAGATATTTGAATGTCCTTGGACAAGGCTTGACAAGCTGCGCTGATGACAGAGACAGAATTTGAAGGGCATGTGGTCCACATCCCAGATAACGTATCAATGAGAGTGATGAGCCACAACCTCAAACCAGTCAATCCTTTGCTTGTTTCTGTCAATTGACTCTGGATCAAGTCCTGCAGAAAATCAAACTGAGTCCTGCCAGAGATTGGCGATGTCTCTATTTCACACTGGAGGAGCCAGAGTCCAATTTGTCTTTTTTTATATAAGCAACAAGCAATCACTCCAGGATGAAACACACTTCTCTTCCTCAAGAGTTTCACCATATTCCCTCTGAAAACGCCAAAATATTCCATTCAGGGCTCCATTGGAGGTTGATAACCCGATGTGTTCTCTGGTGTACAGGCCGTGACTGACGGTGATCTGGACCTCTGCTCATCCCGGAAAAACCTAGCCATGGGGTGGATTAGCTGGTAAAGAGTTTGGGGTGAACTTCTTCCATCTGTGTGGGAGGGAAGCAAATGATCATAATCCTTTACTGCTATATGCACAACTGTTTCTAAGAAATGTGACTCTCTCTCTTGGAAAATAACAAATATCTATTTTATTGGCATAAATCTGAAACTCTCACCTTACACAACAGTAAATTTTATTTAAAGCCGTGACTCATATTTGTTTTTAAATAGCACACGGGTGTATAACAGCACAACCCAAAAAAAAAAGTAAAGAAATTCTGTAACAGGGAGGTGGTAGGCAATGTGAGTTGCTCTGAAAGGTTAAAAAAAAAGTTTCAATTACTTACTCCCATCTGCTCTCTTCCTGGACTCTGTAATCTGAGTTCCTCTCCTCCCATCCACCTGTGACAAGATGGGTGCTTATTCTCTCAGCCAGTGAGTTGCTCCATGGTGCCAGATCCACCTCTAAAGGCTTGTGTGGGAGTACTTGATGGTGGCTAGGTTTTTGTGTTTCTTTGGTCTTTCTGCACAAATCATTAAAGTGCTTTTGACAAGTGCGACCCTTTCATTTAGAGCTGGGAAATTGCAATGATTTCACCCTCAATTTCAAACCAATTCTCGTTTCTCTCAGTGGGATGTATGTGTGTGTGGGGTGGCTGGTGGATGAGGGGAAGTTCCAAAGAAGATTCTTAAATTGCTAAATCTAACTCCTCAGAACATCAATTTGCCATGTGCAGCTGCAATCCCAACCCAAGACTGCAGAGTTGCAATAGGGTGCAGAGCTGTTCTACGGGATAGGAGCACATAGGCTTGGATGGATATATATCAAAGTTGGGTAAGAATTGAGACTAGAATAAGCCAAGGCAAGGGAACACAGTAAGAAAGGAAAGAGCAGGTGATGGGGGGCAATATATAATAGGATGTGAGATGGAAAGGGACATTGTGGAAGGCAACTCTAATACACTCAAGGATCATAAGATGAAAGTAAAAGGAATATAACATGAAACAAAAAGAGTGGTTAATATCCTTTTAACATCTAACCCGCTGGGGTGATTGAGGTGCATTGAATAATTTTGTCCGACTCTGGCCTGACTACACATTATTGGACATTCAAAAGTTCTCTGAAACTTGGAACAACACCACTGAGTGTGCAAATTGACCTTAGGAGCTGACTTCAGAAGCTGGACACCCTGGGTGGGTAGGTATCAATGGTGGTTCCACCATGTGTTATGAGACTGTTATATCATGATGTACATTGGACCAAACAGCATATTGCCACCTCCACAGCTGCTGCTTTGGACTCAACTCAGAATCACAATACTCCAGCATTAGATCAACACTTGCGATGTAGGCACAATTAGAGCTGATCGGTAAGGTATTGACCTTGGCAGTGTGCGCATGTAAAGGAATTCGTCTATTTTATAAGCCGCTAAGATTTTCAAAGCAAAGATACTCTGCTACTTGTCATTGTGCTCATTGCTCATCTACTTTTCTACACTCCGTTTATGAGTCTACTGGGCTGTGTGGTTCTTGTTGGAGATGGAATGCACAATTATTTGTTTCTGAATTCATTTGATCAGGTATCCAATGGTCCCAGGTTAGCAGTGTGCAGGCACTACATGTGCAGTTGCTGTTACTGTACTCATCGAGAGGGGTTCTTGTACACCTTTGGGCTTAAGTTACACTGGAGCTGATTACTGTTGCTTGTCTGCACTTTTTGTGCTTTTAATTGTCTTTGCTTTGTTACCAAAAATTGATCAAAAGCAGCAGTCATCTTTTAAAGATTTAATGTCCATGAATATTTTATGATTAAGAAATGTAATAAATACTTCTGATCCCAATTGAAGACCATTTTTCTTTCCCGCTACTCACATTTGAAACACTTTTATGTTGAATGTCCTTATTTTTATTAGAGTAATGAATGGCAGACACTCACGGACCAATTTTTCATGGATAAACCATTGGTCACAGTGTTCTTCACATGAGATATCGGAATTACCATCACCATTTCATTACACAATATAATCAGATGTTTCAACATTGTGACACTTGTATTCTTTGTTATTTATTCCTTGTGCATGTGCAGAATATATTTAATGGTTGGACCAGTGTAAAATATCCCAGTGCTGTCTGAAGGACTGAGAATATGTTAGCAGTGATCATAAAGCTAGGTGAAATGATGCCCTAGATCTAACTGTTTGGCTATAAAAACATTCCTGCAATGGGTAGGTTTATTGTTTTTTGTGAGATGGATACACCAGTCAAAATGGTTGCACTACTAATGAAATATTAAGAAAACTACGCAGGTGAGAGGATCAAGGTAATACAATATTGTAACTTACCATCAGAGTAGGTTAACCTTTACAAGTCCCCTGTATTAAGAGGCAATATATGCCACGTGCGAACAGATACATTCTCACTACTTACAACAAAGGAATTGCGGATGAGAGTTAGCGCAGCAACATTTAATGTTGCTCTTTACTGCATGTTTGGCACTGAAACACTGTGATTTCCATACAGTATAAACGGGAGCTGGGGAGCACACATCTTCAATAAGATTGCAGAACAAACGTCCTATTTTGGTGATCTGAAAATTGGCCCTGATTTAAAGAGATGCAAAACAGGGGAGTATAAATCAAACTTCCCATTTCACATCACTAGATTGCTGAACTGAAGTAGCTTTGCTCCCAGCAGCATAAACCCTTCAATTTAAAAAAACACCAGAAAGTGAAAGTCACATTTGCATTTCTGTTGAAAATTATAAGCTTCTATTAACAAGTCTGCTTCCGAATGTAAAAAAAAGTTGCTGCAATTAATAATGCAGGAAATTGGGGAAACAGGATGCAATTTTTCCAAAAAGGAAAGATTCAGACTCATGTGGCAGAAAAAAATAGGTTAAATAATCCAGGACAGCATCACAGGGATTATAGTTTGGTTGATCCACGTCATTCTTATTGAAAGTTAAATATGTTGCTTGAATAGTGAGCATCCTTGTAACTGAACAATAAAGATGCATTCAACGTACAATGCATTCTGTTCACACAACACATGCACAAACACAGGTGCGGGCGTACATGCACGCACCATTTAGAGACACAGCTTCACGTTAATTATTAAGGCCCTCAAGGGTACATGGTAGAAATGCAGTTAGCTTCTGAAAGATTTCCTTGCTTACAGCTCCTAGCGGCCAGCGAGGAACAGCAGAGAACTGACAAGCCTTGTCAGCAGGGATTCTGATCTGAGTATTAATGAGGCTACGCAGCAGTAATCAGCTCTTTCATGTTGTCACTCAAAACAAGTCTTGGGTCGAAGAACCAGACAAACATCTCATCAGGATTAGTTCTGGTCAGAGGATCATTGGGAACCCTCTTAAGGGAATGCATTGCACTGGAGGAGTAGAATTCCAGAGAACAGTCAGTATTTGCCAAAACTCTTTGGACACGTTCTATAACAGGGGGCACTCTGGTGATGAAACTAAAGGAAAGATAGACTCCAAACAGCTTGCAATTTAATGGTCAGCCTACTCCTTTAATATTTCCCCCCGTGGCCCATCTTCAATTCCTATCTTTTTATCTCCACAGTGAAATAGTTTATAAAGTAATATTTTCTGCTTCTTAAGTAGAAATCATTAATTGATTTAAAGGCTCGTTAGCAGCTTTTGACACAAGATAATGATGTCAGTGCCTACCACTGCGGGCTAAAAATCAACTCCAAACTGTTTGGAACCTATTGATTGTTTTAACTTTGAATCACCATGTTTTTTCTAAAGTAATGTATATATATGTGTATATTTGCATTGATCTCATCTATATCAGCAGATGGGAAGCAGATCAGTCTGACAACAAATAGAAACCTTTTTTGGTGAGCATTAGGCAGAAACTTTTGGTAAACAAGGGGCATATTTTTCCTTCCTGATTTTAGGCGCTCAGAGTTGGTGATAATTTATTAATCTCAAATTAGTGAATCATAAATTGCAATTAACACAACTTACCTAGTTTGCAAATATTGCACTTTTAGATCCCTAGACTTCTGAATCTCCACAAAAAATTCTTATCCTGCAGCAATCATGGAATACTTTAACAGCATCTATAAGATACTGATTCAAAAACTGCTTAGCAAAGTTTGAAAATGTAAGATACATGCCAGAATATGGCACAAGTTAATGTATCATTTTAGCTGGTTAAACTGCTGCTGTAGCCCAATGCACCCAAAGCTTTGACTCTCGTCAATCTGAATCTCTGGAATTAGCTAAGCAAGGGATCTATCCAGGGAGGGGATACATATTCCATTCAAAGGACATTTCCATATGTAGGTGACATAGATATGTGGAACTCTCAGTGCAATTTGGATACTCTAAAGCTTAGTGAGGGGTTTCCGTTCATGTCAGACACCTGGCTGACGAAACAAAAAATAAAAAAAAAAAAGAATGAGACTGAATAAAACTGCATTTTGCTCCATTATGTCATAACACTAGCAGTAACAGAGCAGCAAAGTCCCAAGTCCCCAAACAATCTTCAAATAATAGGGAGGATGTCTCCACTTAATAGTGGAAATTGTTTAGTTTTCAAGCAGGTTAAATTTCTTCCTGATTTTAGTTACATGTTAAGATACCTTGACTGTACCTTGCCTTTGATTTTCTTTCAAACAGGTTTATTAATATTTTGAAATGCAAATTCAAATTGCTCAATGTATACATGCAAATGGAACGTTAAGTGGGCTTTAACATTAACAATCATTTCCCTTCATTTCTTTAATGTGCCTGTCTTGTGAATTACTTATTTTAACATGGCATGAGAAAGGAAGAGTACAGTGTTTCAAATGCATAAAACATCTAAATATCTTTCACATTGATTAATGCTTAGCATAAACTGTCAGCCATTCTATGAAGAATTGTCTGAAGTCATGCTCACACAACGCTTGAAACGAGAGCTTGGACAATGTACATTGTGTTGAAGATTCCAATGTTTTTATATCAATATTCATGCTTCCTATAAATCTGCAAAGTAGTCCATCATGGCTAATTCTTTCAAATGGAGTTAGTAATGTG